CCCATATGTCTGATACCAATCTATAAAGTCCTCTTCAGATTCATGAAACACATGCAATGACGCCAAGTGCAGGAAGATCACCTGCCAGTGGGTGGGAAGTCTTGTGGATCCAGTAGCACTGTAAGCATCTCAGCACTGTCAGGGGTCTCTATGTGGCTTCTCCAGCTCCAGAAGTCTGGCTCCATCAGCCTTTCTCCATGTGTTTTCTCCACAAAGATGTCGCACAGAGAGTATGCATGTGTCCTGCCTCCAGAGAGCTATTTATCTCCTTAGTGCCTTCAAATGAGGTCATAAAGCTACTACTTAATTGGCAGGCTAGACTCCACCCTTTCACTCTGAATCCTCAAATTGACACCAGATCATGTAACTACCACATACTACTAAAAGGGCAAATGGATCTGTATTGAACAAAATAAAGCCAGAGTGCTTCTTAGATGTAAGGATGGGCAAGCCTTCATTTTACATAGTTTGAACATATTGTCAGGATAGATCAGTCCTTAAAGTGGGATATCATGTTTAGCAAAGTGGAAGGGTGGTGAAAAAGTGGAAGGCCCTCAAGGAGATGGATTGACACAGTGGTTGCATCAGTGGGATCAGGCATAGGACCAATTGTGAGGAAGGTGCCGGATCATGTACTGTTTTGTTCTGTTGTGCATAGGGTTACTATTGGTCAGAACAACAACCACCACAACCCACTCAATGTTTAGTGAACCAACAAAATAAACCATTAGCTCTTTTCCTGAACTCCTAAGCTGAAACATTTTGCTTAGTGAGCTATATCAATAAATTTAAACTAACCCAACTTTATCTTCCTTGAACCATCATTTCATACTCTAAATAGCTATTCCCACACATATTCTCCAAGCTTCTCTTTGTACATAATGGAAAAATGCAGCATTCTTTTAGTGTAGTATACCTCTTCCTGGGCCACAGTTTGTATTTCACCTTTTGGGACTACCTGGGACTTGTTTAGTTCTAGTTCTAAAAGCAACTATTGGTGGTTGAGGTTTTCGTGGGAACATTCAGTAATGGCTTATACAGTATCTGCCTCAAGTGATGCGCAGACAATTCACCAGATTCTGCCCCAGACTGGATCTCAATGACTCATGAAGCACATTTGGGTTAATCTTATTACATGACTGTAAGAGGGCTTATTCTTTTGGAAAAATGATTTTAAAAATTTAGGGACCCATGTCACTATCTTCCTGCTTGTATATTCATGCATCTCCTTGCCAAGTGTCAGGATCCCATTTCTTCTAAATCGTTGCCTATCACATCAGACACCATTTGAAGGGTGAAATTTAGTTGGCATTGTCATTCAGGCACTCTTACAATAAGACCTGATCTGATTTTCAGCAATTTGAGCTTTTCTACTACAAAAAATAGGCTTTCTTTCAAGGTAAAAGTGGGAATTCTACGATCTTTTATGCAACACTGGAACTGTGGGTCCAAAGCTCTGATCACTTCTTTTTCCTTACCACTTTGCCTAATGTATCAGTGCCCTTATATTTCTCATCCTGACAAAATTGCAGAAAAGTATGAAATGCAGTTACTCTGTAATTCTCACTCCCTGTCAATAGTTTAGCTATTGGTGATATTTTGTGTAATAACACTGTCACCTCACCAGGGATTAGCATCACTCTTTTGAAGAATAAGCCCCAACCTCACTGCCATCAAGTCGGTTCTGATTCACAGTGACGTTGTAGGACAGAGTTGAACTTCCCTTGTGGTTTTCTCAAGTTATAAGTCTACATGGAAGTAGAAAGCCTCTTTCTCTCATGGACCAATTGGTAGTTTTGAACTGCTGATCTTGTCATTAGGAGTCCTGGTGCCATAGTGATTGCACTATGGGCTCAGAACCCCAAGGTCAGAAGTTCTAAGCCAACAGCTGGTCCTCATGACAAAGATGAGGATTTCTAATCCTGTAAAGAGTTACAGTCTCAGAAACACACAGGAGCAGTTCTACCCTGTCATATAGTCAGAAATTACTTGATGGTTGTTAGATTTCTTTTTTGTTGGTTTGCTTTTAATAATGGAGTCAGAAGTATCAATAACTTCAAAACCAATTAGACTTGAGGACTGTGGTAGTTAAATTTTTCTGTTAACATGCTGGGCCATGATTCTCAGTGGCTTGGCAATTAACACCTAGTAATCCTCCATGAGCTGGCCTAACAAACACAGTGTGATGACAGCCAATCTGTTGTAGCCTCCATAATAGGATAAGATTAAGAAAGGAAGCAGCATCTTCACTTAGGCCACAGTCCTGACACAATTAATTACTTTGGAGAGGTGTCTGGTTCAAAGATAAATAGCTTCTGTGGGGAAGCTTGTTTGTTTTCTGCTGATAGGGATCCTGTATCTGCTTTATCTATGACTGATTCTATGAACCATATTTTCTGCCAGTCCTGGAATTCGTCAGTGGCCTGTTATCTGCCCTACCAACCTTGGATTTGATCATCTCTGCAGTACAAGCCTGACCCGCTGACCGTGGCACATTCACCTCTTCAGTCACCTGCCTGTCATCTTCCTACTGATACTGGGTTCACCAGTCCCACAGCTTGTGAGTTAGGAGAAAACTCCAGTGGGTTATGCATTGGGCTGCTAACCACAAGATCAGTAGTTCAAACCCACCCAGGTCTAGGCGGAAGAAAGATGAGGCTCTCTGTTTCCATAAATATTTACAACCTAAGAAAACCAAAGGGACAGCTACACTTTGTCCTATAGGATTTCTATTAGAATCAGCTCAATGGCTGTAGTTTGAATGGCAGTGAAGAGCACAGATTCTTCATTCACTGTTTCAGCTCAAGAAGATAGGAATAGATTGAATAATTAATTTGTTTTTGTTGTTGTTTTTGTTTGCAGGGAGGGGTTTCACCAGTAGATTTTCTCTTTCCATTTAATTTTATTTACAGATGATATTTGAGTGAAATTGGGCCTCCTTTGGTAAGCAAAAGATCTAAAAAGAATATTTTTAAATGAACAGGCAAAGTCTTCAGCTCATCTATGACGTAAGTATAGTGTTCCCAGCTCTCATACTGTACTTTGAAGCACCCAGACTTTTTTACATAGCATAGGAGGACAAAATTACATTTGAGGTGGAATGTATTGTCATTTGCCAATAACTAGTTGAAATACCATTATCCCAATGCAACAGCCCCAAGAAATAGCCTTTTTAAGGTATGCACTATGTAATTTTTCTTATTACCTGCTATATTGTGTATTAGATTGGTTTGATGAAATATGGCTTACATAATAAGGTAAGTTGAAGTAACAAACCTATGTTGTTATAGAAGATGTTATCTAAATCCTTTGGAAAATTGGTATGTTAGACCCACAAGCATTATGGCCAGAGGATACATCTTTCACCATAACAATGAGGAACAAATATGTGAAGGGAGCCCCAGAATTTCTGAAGACTGTTATGATTGCTATATTATTTAAGTCATATTTGAGAACTTCAATAATTGAATTAAGACACCTAACTGTAAAGGAGATTTTCCCTCCGTCGTGATAGGGGTCAATTGTTAATACTTAAAAACAACAGAGACAACAGGAGCGTTACTAACATAATAGGCAGCACAAAGTAGTAATCAGAATAGTCTGACTCATGTGGACTTATGATCTTGGCTACGTAGGTAGGGTGCCTCTAGAAGGGAACTAGATAGGCCACCTACTAAGTATTCGCTTGATCTATATAACCAAAATGATTCTAGGTCAAGTGAATAAGCCTCTAACGCTAACCACTAGAGTCACAATCCTCAATCAATACCCACACTTGTGCCCGGTTTACAGATGTACACTGAATGAAGTGGAGGTTGGGTCCGTTAGATGAAGAATACCACTACACTGACACAGATGTATACTGTTTTCTTTCTCTCCGTCTTCTCCAAACAGATATAAGACCTTTTATAAGAATTACTAGTCATTGGGGAAAAGAAAATAATTATTTTCTGGGTGGTTACTGGACACTGGCTTGACATTGACACAAATTTCAGGAAATCCCAAATGTTTTCAATGGCCCCAAGTCAGATTATGCCACATGGAAATCAGGTTATTCATGAAATTTTAGCTCAAGTTTGTCTCTTAAGAGGTTCTAGAGGGCCCCTACACACCCTGTAGTAAGTCCCTCAGTCCCAGTATACAGAATTGGAATATACATACCTAGTAACCTGTATTACCCATATGAGATCCTGACATGTGTGATAATGGTTATTGCAGTAGGAACAGTTAAGTGGAAGTCAGTGTGCTGTGCACAGGGTCACTATGATTCAGAACCCATTGGATGGCACCTAACAACAAACTTTAGAAAAGCCATCAATAACTATTTATGTTTAACTATATTTGAAGTGAAAAAGTATAAAAGTGATCATCAGAAAAAGTAAGAATCTGGTATTGCTGATCCTTAACACTTTATCATTTCAAAGTTTTGCCTGCATGATTGGCACACAAGAATAAACACAGATCTTGTTGACATGTTCCTGTAACTATTTCAGATACTCCTTCTAAAACACATGAGATTTCATTTATCCCGTATGATGAAGTAGAGAGACTTGTCTGAGTGCTTCTTCCTCCTGAGATAATTCAGACAGTACTGACACCAAAGAGGGGATTCCAGAGCCAGGATGCTGAGCTTTGGTTTGAACATTGGGCACATGGCTTAAAGTGCACGAATAATCATATACTACATACAATCACATGATATTCTCCAAAGAACTCATCAAAGGATCAGGTAATTATTCTCTAGAAATTACTCCTGAACCTTATGAAAGAAACACAACCTAATTAAAGACCAGGGAGAGAAGTCTCTCAGGATGCTCCTCTAGAGGCATGCAGGCCCTTGACTACACATGATCTGAATTCTTCACTCCTCCTAAATAGTGAAGTTCTGTTCCATTTAGCCATTACCCAGTCATGGAAGCCAAGGTTAAATGCAAGAGGTCATATGAGAAGGCTGAATCACTTACTCAGACCTGAAGCAGGTATCTTTTCAGAGAAACACAATGCAGGAGATCAAAGTGTAATCACATTGTAAGAGGTACTGATGAGAGTGTAGAAAGGAATGTATTTCCTTTGACTACAGTATTCATTATTCCCTGAAAGTATAAGTGCTATATCTAAGATTTTGAAGGAACTAAAGTAGTGAGGCAGAATTTCTCTAGATCGGTTTTTAATTTGATTTAATGAATCAAAGTGGGGCTTGGCACTCTTAGCCTAGTCATCTGCCATGTTTAAAATCTTCAGAATATTTCTTTATGGTAATATTTTACATTTATTCATGTATCTTCATTTTTGTTTTGAAGTAAGTAGACACCAAAATGTTCATTTTCTATTCCTGAATACTTGTATCTTCTTTTATGCCACTAATATATCTGTGAAATAGAATAGAACTTGCTGTCTTCAGAATACTAGATCGGGATATGAAACATCACCGCCATGACATAGACTGAGGACTTTTTCTATCGGATGCTGTCTTACTTTGCTAATGTCAGTCCATTGGTATGAAAGACATTTTATAAATACAAATATGGATTTAGTTCTCACACATAGGTAAGCATACAAAGGAGACCCATCTATCAGTGGTCCTTTGCCTCTTTATGCCATAATGGTTTATAGGTTTGCTTGTTTTCTAAGTCATAGAATCCTAAGTTGTCAAAAGGAAAGGAGTGTGTCCTATTTAGCTTTACATTCCCTACGTCACTCACCTTGATCCCAGAAGTGGCTCACTCAGTCTGTGCTAGGTACAAGTGAAAGGAATGGGATTCTGAGAGACATGAGTGTGATCTCGTTAAAGTCCAGCATTTTTAGCAAATGTTGAGCGATTGTGACAGGACTTAATGGTGCTATAGTATTACTGATATCATGAATTAATGAGAAAATAATGTAAGATATATACTTATATATAATATGTAATAATATGTATATATGCATTACTCAATCAGTCAATGTTACTCTATGTAACATATGTTAATAACATACATATATTTTATATATACATAACTACTATGCCTGTATATACATGTAACTACACACATATATAAATGTAAATGAGATACTAAGTAAAAAAGTCTTCTAGGCACAGTCATGTTTTTGTTTGTTTGTTTGAAATGAACGTGTTTGTCCCTTAGGACTCTAAGTCAATTTAATTTTACTTCTTCTCCTCTTTTCTTTTAAAGCCACTCAAGCCACTATTTAGGTTCGAGGGATAAGAAATCTAGAGGGATTATTTTATTTAAGAAATATATTATATATATTTGCACATTATCTCAAGAAATAAAATCAGCAGCAATATCCTGTTAAATCCTCCAAGCATGTGGTTCTTTTTCTTCTCTACAGTAATAGTTCATTGGCACATATCTCGCTCAGTGCGTCTGGTGAATGGATAGCCTGGAACTGCATTTTCGGGTACTCTTATCAAGGGGAGAGAACCGGTCTCTACAAATGAAACATCTGGAACCACTTCTCATGACATTAGACTTCCTTGGTTATCAGTCCAGAGAAATGGAGAATAGATATGTAGGAATTATAGTGTTTCCTACATACTCGTCTGCACAGAGAAGAGCATCATGAAGTGGAATAATGGTAGTAATGCTGTGCTATTGTACAACGACGAGAGTTAATCATACTGAATACGGAATTTCAAATTATCTCAATCTGAAATAGCTACTTGTCAAATTTCCTGAAATTTCAACATTTAATTTATCTGACTGCATTTGTGCATGTAGAAAGCCACTTGTTAGTCAGCTAGCTAATAATGCACATTTATCTGTATATGTTATATGATTATTAATACATGTATATTATAATTACAATTGGCCATCTCCAAAGATTGGACAGATTTGTGAATGATAATTTCATCACAACGTCAGCACATATTTCCATGAAAAAGAGTTTCCTCCAGAATAAACGGATACAATTCTCCTTTTCATTCCTTGAGATGTGAGAAGGATATGAAAAGAGGAAACATAACCTCCATGATGGGTTTTACCCTTCTTGGACTTTTCCCAGGCACAAGATACCTGGAATTCCTCGTCTACACAATATTCCTCATGTACATCATTGCCATCACTGCAAACACCATTCTGGTCCTTCTCCTCTCTCTGGATCCCCAACTCCAGAGCCCCATGTACTTCCTGCTCAGTCAGCTCTCCCTCATGGACATCTCCCTCATCTCCACCACTATCCCCAAGATGCTAACCAACTTTTTCTCAGGCACAACAGATATTTCATATATTGCCTGTGGGACACAGGTCTATTTGTATATTTCCCTTGCAGGGAGTGAATGTATTCTGCTCACCCTGATGGCCTATGATCGCTATGTGGCTATTTGCAACCCCCTGAGGTATGTGACCACCATGAATTCTCATGTATGCCTGCAGATGGCCATTGTGTCCTGGGTTGGCGGAGCAATTAATTCCCTACTTCAAACCACATATTCCATGCATTTTCCTAGATGTGGCTCCAGAGAAATCCATCATTTCTTCTGTGAGATACAGGCTGTTCTCAAGTTGGCATGTGAGGACACATCAGTTTATGAGAAAGTAGTGTCAGTGATGGGAATTATATTTCTTCTCATACCCTTCGGCCTCATCCTCACTTCCTATACTCTCATCTTTCTTAGTGTTCTCCATGTAAATTCTCCCAAGGGGAGAAATAGAGCTCTCGCTACATGTTCTTCCCATCTGATGGTGGTGTTTCTCTACTTTGGTCCAACTATGGTCATCTATTTGACGCCCAGTGCCTTGCACTCCTCAGAACAAGACCAGAGTGTCTCAGTATTCTATACCATCCTCACCCCCATGTTGAACCCTCTGATATACAGTCTAAGGAACAAAGATGTTGGAAAGGCTCTGAGAAAAATATATGCAAAAATTCATCATAATTAGTATATTATATACTATGAGATTATAAAACCTCAACAATTCTAAGATAACATACTTTTGTTACTCTTGTACAATGAAAAATATTGGCTACTAGGTTATCAATATTTATCACTAACAGTACTTTATGAAAGACTGTGCTATGAAAACTGTTTTGACTATTGTAAATAATTTGGTCAATATAAATTTGGCTTATGTTTAAGCATTTTAGTGATTTTTATATTTTATTAATGTAGCTTTCTCTACATCTTAAAAATGAATTGATAAACTATGATATTTATAAAACAATTTGCCTGAATTATTTAATACAAACAAATTTAAAGTCAATCAGGGAAGTTAGGACCATGATATATTAGTGTACTTCTGTTTCCTATATGCAAATGGAAATACTTACAATTATCTACCCTCTGATTTCAAGAAAATTTAGTTCACCTCGGTTATATTTTGAAAGAATCTACTACTACAAGAACAGTAGACATATGGGCAATAGATGGTGTTTGAATTAAATATCAAATAAATATTGATATTTTTGATCCACAATTAGATAGTTAATTGTGTTATTTTCAGTAGGATTGTAACTTCATATGGAATGGTATTCTCAGTTCAGTTAAAATAACCTGTATATTTCCAAAAGGAAAATGTAATTAAATGTTGTGCTACAAGTCAAGCAATACAAGCTTTGAACTTGGTCTTCCACATGAATTCTTGAGGTTTTTCCCCACCCCATTTTGTCACAGATGAGATTTCAATTGGAGAACAGATTGGTTGTCCTATTAAACTAATTCATTATTATTTATGTCCTATTAAACTAATTCATTATTATTATTTATACAAAATGTCATGTCCTATGTTGTTTTAAATAAGACAGCTGTACCAAACCTCTTTGCAGAAGAGACATCAAAAGTGCTACCTTCTCCTAAAACTTCCCTGAAATGATTTTAATCCCAATAGCCTTCATGATTGATAATGAACTAGAAAAGAAATAATGATTTACATTCTCGTTGTTTTCAAATTTTGAGCTATGGATGCATAAGAATGAGAATGGGATTGTTTTAGTGTAGCTTTTCTTCTCTTTTGGATGACTTTGAAAATGGAAAAAAAAATAAAAAATCAAGTACAATAATGATCTTATCATCATCATGTCACTTCCTTAATTAAATTGGCCACTCACAACTAGATATACAACCTAAATAAATAAGGGCTGGATTATGAACAGATATGCTCACATCTATGTCCACCATAGTATTATTCGTAATAGCATAGAGATGGAAACAACGTAAGTGTATATTAACATGTAAACAAATAAAAATTTACGGTACATGAATACAAGGAAATATTATGTAGCATTATAATAATAAACTATCAGCAACAGTTCGTTATGTGGATGAAACTGAAGGCTATAACACTGACAGAAATAAGAGTAATAGTCTTATTATAAAATAGTCTATTATAAAAAATTCCAAGTAAAAGTTTAGATACAGTTAAAAAAAAAAAGCTGTTGATTGTTTCTAGGGACAGAAGGGAAGTAGATGGAAAAAATCACTATGTAAGAAATATAAAAATAAGTGTACAAATGTGCTTGACACACTGGATATATGTATGCATTGTGATAAGAGTTGTACGAACCCCCAATAAAATGATTTTAAATTAAAAAAAAAAGAAATATAAAAATAAAATAAATAAATAATTTAAAATAATTCAATTGGAATATGAGCAAAAGGCATGAGTCAACATGTTACTAAAGTAAAGGCCAATAAACTTTGGTAAAAATGTTTAAAATATCATTAGTCTTTAGATAAAGTATTAAAACAATATTGCTACATACTTATCAGAATGGCTAAAAGTTTTAAACATGCTAACAAAGAAAATAATCATTGTATCACTCCTATTTTGCTGGTAGGATTTTCAGCTGGCACAGATACTTTAAAGAAACTCTTTGGCATTTTCTTTAAAAATTAATATGCTAATATGATTCAACCTAGCAATTTCACTCTTGCATATATATCCTGGAGAACTACTAAATTACATTCACTTGTATATAAAAGGCTGTATAAAAATTTCATGGACACTTTATTCACAACAATCAAGACCTGGAATCACACCAGACATCATTCAACAGGTGGTGACAAAACAAACTGTGATACATTTTAGCATGACTACTAAGCAATGATTCTAGAACAATGGATTAAACATTGATACAGGCAACAATTCAGATACATTTCTAGGAGAATTTTCTGAGTGAAAAAAATCAATACAAACATTACATATTTATTCCATTTATATGATTCCATAATTCCATTTATATAATGTTCTCAAAATTAAAAGAAATTTAATAACATTGGAAATGAAGAGTAGGTTGAACAAATTACTGGATTTGAGAGGTCAAGGTAATGACAGAAGGAGGGAAGGGTGTGATTCTAAATAAATAAGAGGGAGAATCCATGGGGTGAAAGACTCCTGTGTATTTTGACTATATCAATGCCAATATTCTGGTCCTAATATGGTACTAAAATTTTGCAAAATGTAATCATTATGTATATAGTGCACAAGATTTATGTCCATTATTTCTTATACCTGTCACTTTACCTACAATTTTGTCAAAGGAAATGTTGAAAATATCTCTTGGTAAACAGGAAAGTTAACTTGATAAAATATGTACAAAAATGCTACTGTAACCAACTTAATTATGAAATATTAAACTATTTCCTTCCAATATACACTAACAAAAACTATACAGAAAATGAAATCAAGAAAATTATACCATTTATTATACTCAATTGAAAGATAAAATATTTTGGAGAAAAATGAGAGAATTAAAAGATGGAGGACCTAATTACAAGGATCTACATATAACCTCCTCCCTGGGGCATGGACAACAGGAAAGTGGGTGAAGGGAGACATCAGACAGTGTAAGGTATGCCAAAATAATAATAATTTATAAATTATCAAGGGTTCATGAGGGAGGTGTGAGTGGGGAGGGAGGGGAAAAATGAGGAGTTGATACCAAGGGCTCAAGTAGAAAGCAAATGTTTTGAGAATGATGATGGCAACAAATGTACAAATGTGCTTGACACAATAGATTTATGTATGGATTGTGATAAGAATTGCATGAGCCCTCAGTAAAATGATTTTTTTAAAAAACCCCAAAAAATAAAACCAAAAAAACAACTCTAAATCACTACTATAAGAAACCAAAATAGAACTACATAAATAAAAGACTATGCCATGCTCATAGATTAGAAACTTAACATTGTGAATATTAAAAAGTGATGTGCAAATACAAATGTATGTTAGACAGAGTTCTCTAGAGAAACAAAACCAGAACAGTTATGATTTTATATATATTTATATAGATAGAGATATACAACATAAGAAATAAGCAGATAATTAGTTTATAGAGCAGTACAAATGTCTCAGTGCAACGCACTTCCTTGAAACAGCTAATACACTGGCAGTCCTTCAAGTTTTGAGGGCCACCGCATGCAAGTCAAGGGATCGGAAAGCTGAGACCTCTGTAGAGCAGTTCAGGCAATCTGGCCACAGGCAGCAAACAGCAAAGTAGGTCACTAACAGTCAGCCAGATGACAGGGTCCGACAGTCCCCAGCTCAAGAGATGCATACTCCAGTATCATGGTGAAACAGGTCTTGAAGGAATCTCAAACTACTGTGAGACAGTCCATGGGCTGGATGTCCCACAGGTAGTGTAGCTCGCAAGTTGAGGCAGAGAACCACTTAAGGCAGACACATACTGGTCCAATCATCAAAGAGCAGGAGACAAGCAAGGCAAAGCTTATCTAGCCATTTATCTCTCTGCCCTTCAATTAATCCCACATGTGTTCATTGGCCACGTTGGCAAAATAAACCTACCTATCCCAAAATATAATCCTGAAATAGATTCAACATCATTTTCTGTAGAGATGGATAAAAATAATCACCAACATGTTTATGGGCAAAAAAGAGATCCAGGATAAGCAAACCACTATTAAGCAGGACAAAGAAGGAGACCTCTCAATGTGAGATTTTAAACCCTACTATACATTCAAAATACTCAAAACAGATTGGTATTGATACAATGGCAGACCCACAGAACAACAGAACAAAATTGAGAACTCATAATTAACTCCATCAATGTATAAACAGCTAATTTTGGAAAAGAACCAAAATACATTAAATGGGGAAAGTAATATTATCTTTACTAAATAGTGCTAGCAAAGCTGGATACCCATTTGCAGAAGGATAAATTAGGAACCATATCTCATGTCATATTAAAAAAAATAGCTCAAGATGAATCAAAAACCTCAAATTAATACCTAAAACTATAGAAATCATCAATGAAAAAACAGGGACTAAGCTCTGAGCCCTAATGCGTGGCATAAACAAATTGTCAAACAACTGAAAACACACAGAGACAGAAAACAAACTAGATAACTGGGACATTCTAAAAATTAGACATGTAAACCACAAACTGGAATAAAATTTTGACAATGACATACCAGAAAAGGGACGAATATCTAAAATGTGAACACTGAAACAGGAAAAAGACAGTCCCAATTAAAATTGGGAAAAGCTGGTGCTGTGTTCCTAACTGGACAGTTTTGACCTAGTTTTTATCCATCCTTGGTGACCGAGGGCATGCGTTGCTAGAACTATGGACTCTGTTCTTTCAAGGTCTACAACATCTTGCATAGACCCCATGAAAATGATTCTCTGTGGAAACCCCACTCATCCAACTAGGCTTTACCTAAAACTCGCCTGTAGCCAATTTGAAGAGCTGACATATTCCCTTGGACTTCCTAGTGTGAGAAGAAGCAGATGACTGCTATACCAAGGTTTGGACATGGTGGTGGTTGAACTTGGGTTCAGATCTCATTTTCTGAGGGTGCCAAATAAATGGTGGCCTGTGACTACTACATATTTATTATTTTAATGCTGTCCTTGCTTTCTTATGACAAGTACTAGCATGGTAGGCATAGTTTTGCCTTTGTGAATGAGTGAAAGCATGCCCT